AACGTTACGTTTCCGAGGTCGGCCATCGCGCTTTCGCTGCCGCGGCGCGCACTCGCGGGACAAAATGAAAAGCTTATATCACAGGGACGAACGTTTAATAACGAGATTAACAACGCGCAATAAACTAATCGAATTTGTAATACGTTTGCGCAGTCGAGCGCGGCACGTCTGTACAATTTGCGGTCCGCGCGATTTATTAAAACCGATCCTCTTTTCTTCCCCACGTTAATTACCTCGTTCCGTAATTATTTTATTCGTAACGAAATTATAATACGTACGTAATCTATTTATTCGCACTCCGCTTATGTATCGGCCGATCGCTTTATCCGCCCGTCGACTTTCGCGTTATCGATTTTCCGCAAGATGTACAGTCTGACTCATTAATGCCTGGACCTCAGTTTTACTAGAATTCATATTTTTATAATCGCTATTCCCATTAATGCATCGATGAGTCTCGGACTGTAATTCACACAGCTTCTACACCGCCGTCCTAATCTAAAAAGCAATATCTCTATTTTTGGGCCATTGTAGTTAACTAACTTTCTACATTTCTTAGAGAAATATCGAATATTCGTTGTCCCACAAGACTAGAAAGCAGCAAGAGCACTAGATTAACGTAAAATAACTTATACATGTTGCAGTATGTCCACCTGTTATCAGCAATTCATAAGCTAAACCGCAGTAAGCGCTGTCTGCAGGTCTTAAAAACAGTATCTCTAAATTATTGAAATAGAGAAGAAATGCTTTAACGTGCAGAATTCTTTTCAGGATCAATACATTGTTTTCGTGGTGGCCTAGCTGTTAGAACTTAAGTGCGCGTTTTCTCGAAACTAACAATTTGGGAGATACTGCTTTCTAAAGCCAACGGCGCACGATACTATTTTTCCTACTGGATTTCTTACGAGAGCCAATCGGGATTCAGCTTTGAGTCACCTGATCGAAAACTCTGCACCCTGACTGGCTCTCGTAAGCAATCCAGTAGGAAACACAGGGTTTGTTTTCTGTTCCTGCACTGCAGGTGAACTAGTGCAGTAAGCTAGAATGAGAAAAAATATGCTTGTCTTACTCCAATTTATTGCACTAGTTCACTAGTGTAGGAACAGAAAACAAGCCTATAAGTATCGTATGCCGTTGGCTTAAGGTAGAACGGCAGTATAGAAGTTTGTGGTAGTACATCAACGACATACACTGTAAAAAAGTTACATGTAAAATTACAATTATTATAGTGGGTTATAATATTGGGACCAACTATTAAAGGTGTGTATTTACATATAATACATCAGTAAATTTACACCGTGTAGGTAAAATTATTACCTTATTTAATGAGTAAACTGCTTGCTTTTAATTGCATAAATTTTACAATTTCTTGTAATTTTTCATCATATATGAACAAGTATTTACACAACAAAGAGCAAAAAAAGTTTTGTAAAAGTGCATACATTTATATAGGGTGTTATGTAATACCCGCATCAACGCTTATTGTGGGATAGAGTGGACTAGACTAAGTCGAAAAGTCCTCTACCGTTTTGCAATTTTCGCAAAAGTCAGCGAGTTATTAGTTATTAAAAATCGCTGTCTTAGGCCGGCCCACTGCCCAATTGAAACGTGCGGCGAGATCGATCGATCGTTACAACTCTCTGCGCGCCTAGTAACGATCGATCGATCTCGCCGCACGTTTCAATTG